TATTGAAATAAATATTAAAAATAATATCTGAAGATATGGACTTAATTTTGTGGCTCAGTATGGGATGCTGCGTAAGAGTTGAGGTTTTCACGGCGGTGACTGTGAAGAAAGCAGTCTTCTGGGATGTGGCGCCGTATAGATATTGTGTTAACCAACGTTTCGGAAGAACGTATTGCCTTCGTCTTCAGGGTAGAAGAAAGTAAGAAATCCGCGAGCGAACCAGCGTGAGCAGGTGTAACAGACTCACCCTGAAGATGGAGGCAATACTTTCCTCCGAAACGTTGGTTAACACTATCTACACGGCGCCACATCCAAGAAGACTGCGTTCTTCAATATAGGGCTGTTTGAAAAAATAATATAGCTTATTGTTCCATGAAATGTTGGGAATATCTTGAACTAGCTGGACGGCTGTTAGCTTCTCAAGAAGGGCTCTGCTCCATGGAATTGTTACTGAGTAACTGCCTACCAGTACTCAGCTGAGTGATAAGAGACAATCTTGTATCCCGCGGCACTGTCTCTACTGTTTTATCCCTTATTTTATGGGTTTCAGTGACTCACTTCTGCTCGTGTGTTCAGTCGTGATTGTATTTCTAATGGTTTGATTCTGTCGAGATTTTGGATTTGTGTTTTGATAATTATGGCCAGAGAGTCTGTTCTCCGTTCCGTTTATTACCCTGGTCCTTTCTTTTTGTTTCCCTAGAGCTAAATACCGACCGAAACGTCATTGTGATCACTTGAAGAACCACCGATATAAAACACTTTCTCTAGTAGGAACGGGGAGGTGCGGTCAGTGGCTAGGCATGGGATGAGACAGACTTTATTACATCCGAGTGTTACGAGGTAACACGACCATCTTGAATAGTCAGCGTTTGAGCTTATAACGCAGAGATTTGACCTGAAACAGAACGGCACGGATATTCCTATCATACTAAGCAAGGATCCTAGTGAAAGTGTGACTAGTTGCATTACGTTGTCGTGTGGAACGTTATCGTGCAGAAAATATTCATGAAATCCTTGGTTAGAACGTGTGAAATGTGCATTCGTAACGTCAGAGGCTGGAATATGCAAGTGACATCTCTGTACAAGTTTCGTAACAAATTCTGATGCTAACTGTGAAGAAGGGATTTTCGATTTTATCGGTCAGTCCAAACATAGCTCGAAGCGGTGGCTGAAAGAAAGCTTTTACTGTCTATATATTTATGTATGGTTGATTTAACGATGTTGTGAATAGCTGAGATTATATGGCGTTGAGTGATGGCACGATTACTGAACAGTGAACTGGAAAGGACTTGAACAGAATCAGAATCAACGGTGGTCTCTTCTAGCATTTACTTGGAGGAATTATGAACACCACGAAAAATAGGATAGCGGTCTCTGGGCCTTAATTCGAAGCCGGTACCTCCCGAATACGAAACAGGACTGCAAGTCACTCAGTATTAACGTTCGGATATCTATGTAATTCGTTAGTCTGATTCTATTTATTGGCTTGTTTAACGAAGCTTTCAGCTGCTGAGCTTGGGATAGTAGGTCGAAGGACTTGTATATTGATGGAAGTGATTGTGACCTTATTTGAGGTACTGTTCTTGCTTATCGTGTTTCAGTTGCTAGTTACAGTGCCATGTATGTGGCGTTATATTTAAGTCTTGAATATCACACACGCACAAATATATATGTATAAACTCCGTGGCTTTAGTCCGCAAGCGAAGTATACCGACCGAGCGACCGCCGTTTGTCGGCGAAGTTAGTGCCAACTTTAGCGGATAGAGCGTGTCGCGTGGTCAGCGCAACGAATGCCTAACGACCGTTAATTTCGGTGTTCTAGACCGGATATGTATATATGTTTAATATAATAACGCAGAGCTGTTCCTATGCTCTGCTCCATGAAGGCGTATGGGGGAGTGGATGTATAGATCCACATTTTCTTGACTCGGCATTAGCTGGAGGTAAGTGGGTCATCTTCACACCGCAAGCCGCTTTACCCCCGGAGAAAGTGCCCCCGGTACCCATTAGATAGGAGGTTAGGTGAGCCCCAGAGCTGGTCTGTACGACGTGGAGAAGTGAACATTTTTGCCCCCACCGGGATTCGAACACCGACCCCTCATTCGTCCAGCCCGTAGCCAGTCGCTGTACTGACTGCGCTATATAATTAATTTTTAAAAAAATATATTATCGACTTAACATAGTATTTAAATAGACATCTGTCCATTTTCTTTACAACACGAAGTAAAACACGCGCATGCCAGCAGCCATTTCCCTTACTTTGCACATACACATTGTGACATGAGGCCTGAGTGCCGGAATAAGTCATTGCCAGACAACGGCTCGCTAACACACGTTTCCATGACAAGTCGGAAAAGCCATTTTCTAGGCAACGACTCGGCAAACACCTCTTAAAAACCGGAATAGTAGAGCAAGACACGGAATTATCCATTTACTAGGCAGCGGTGCATACACGTTTCCGAGATAACGCATTCAGGAAGAGCATTAGTGGAACCCTTGGACGCGGTTGTAAAATGGAGTTAATTCGTGAATTCAAGAGATTCATTCTTAAGATACTTCAGAAGTCAGTTCAGTAGTCGAGTCACAGACAGTCATTGATTGTGAGCTGTCATAATTGAATATAATTGAAATGAAGTACCAATAAATCCAATCATCTAATCGAGAATCCATTCCTATTAGTCATGACGTGGCAGTATGCACTGGTGCAAAGATATTCACAATATCGCCTAGAACAAGAAGTACGTTTACTTGCATTTCATTCAGTGTCTATTATATCGAAGAATGTTGTTAATAAACGCTGTAAGCTTATATCTTAATTCGCTCAGGTATGTTCGTATACGAGTATAACATTAAGATTCTCTTTGTTAAACGTTCACTTGGAAGGTCAGTTTAGTTAAATTTGAGCGTCATAAAATGGGTTGGCGGTTAGCCGAACTCCGCACTGCGGCAGCACGGGTTCCATTCCACCAAATATTCCAGATTGATCACTCATCCTATCATCAATTCTGTAGAACCTGGATATTGGACGCGTCGTTAAAAAACGAACTCTTACGAAATGAGATTAAATTCTTCCAGCGAAATGTTCAGCAGCTCTCCAGCAGACCACCAAATTCGTCCAACAGACTGTTCAGCAGCTGTCCAGCAGACCACCAAATTCGCCCAACAGAATTTTCAGCAGCTATCGAGTAGACCACCAAATTCATCCAACAAACTCTTCAGCAGCTCTCCAGTAGATCAGCAGATTCATCCAAAAAACTGTTCAGCAGCTGTCCACCAGACCACCAAATTCGTCCAATAGAATGTTAAGCAGGTCTCCAGCAGACCACCAAATTCGTCAACAGAATGTTCAGCAGCTCTCCAGCAGACCACCAAATTCGTCCAATATTGAGCAGCTCTCCAGCAGACCACCAAATTCGTCCAACAGAATGTTCAGCAGCTCTTCAGCAGACCACCAAATTCGTCAACAGAATATTCAGCAGATCTCTAGCAGACTACCAAATTTGTCCAACAAGCTGTTCAGCAGCTCTCCAATAGATTAGCAAATTCCTCAAACAAGCTGTTCAGCAGCTCTCCAGTAGATGAGCAAATTCCTCCAACAAACTGTTCAGCAGCTCTCCAGTAGATGAGCAAATTCCTCCAACAAACTGTTCAGCAGCTCTCCAGTAGATCAGCAAATTCCTCCAACAAACTGTTCAGCAGCTCTCCAGTAGATCAGCAAATTCCACCAACAAACTGTTCAGCAGCTCATCAGCAGACCACCAAATACCATCGACATCTGATTATTAGTTTCCGATATGAAATGTTGCCTTCGGGCAGATAGACACAATTTCCCCATTACGAGTATGCTTTCATTTCATCCATTTTATGCGCATGACGCATACAAACGATGAGCAGTATATATTTAGCATTGGATTATATATTACATTCCGCCGTGTTGTATAGGTGTCTCCTTGATCTTCATGGTGGTTGGGTTGCCTAACGAAGCGGGTGTTGAACTTGTAATTTTGATGGGCAATTAGACGGGATTGGTTCATGGTGGGTGGTCTAAGTGTTTCCTGTTGAAAGGACTAAAGGGTTCTGAATGTGGTATACCTCGCCAGAGAAGCGACGGCACAAAGCGAGATGTGGTCACTCATGGTTGTGAGGTTTCGTACAATAACAGCGTTCGATACTGTACGCAATTAACTGGTCATTAATCGTCTGATTTACTGTTGCCGTTCATTTCTGCAGGAATGCCTGCGGCCCTATGCAAGAAGCATGAAACTGTCTTGAAATAAGTCATTCAGTTTTAGTGCTGCGTACTGTTTTGTGTGAGAGCCGGCCTAGCGTAGTCTGTATGGCGACTGGCTACGGGCTGGAAACTGAGGGCTCGGAGTTCGAGTCCCGGTAGGGTCAAAAATTTTCTTTTTCCACGCCTTGCAGGCCGGCTCTGGGGCCCACCCAGCCTCCTATCCAATGGATACCGGGGACTCTTTCCCAGGGGGTACAGCGACCGGGACGTGAAGCTGACCACTCACCTCCAACTAGTGCCGTGGTCAAGAAGACGTGGGTCTGTACATCCACTCCCCCATACGTCTAGTTAAGCACAGGGACAACTTTACCTTACCTTTTCATACTGTTTTGTTTACTCGAAAGTTTGCAGAATTTGTGATCCTGCAAGCACTGTGTTAGTTGTGAATACAGTGCTGAATTATTTTCACAACTATGATCACCTTTTGAATGGTAAGAGATATACCAGGTAGAAACCAGATTTCGCGACAGACGACGAATGTTCCCGTCTCATCACCATGGCCTAAAACTCAAAAGCATGTCTCTGAGAACTGCTCACGCTGGTTCCTCGCTCCCGAATTTTTCTACCCTGAAGATGGAGACGATACGTTCCTCCGAAACGTCAGTTGACAGAAGGTATACACGGCGCCACATTACAGAAGACGACATTCTTCATAGTCACCTCCATGAGAACTCCAAATCTTATACAGCGTATGTTTGTTTTGTTACAGCCGGACACTGTACCGCAGGCCAGCATAGACATGAACAAGGTACTGGAGGTGACGGACGGCGAGGAGGTGACCGGACACGCTTACAGTTTGGCCATCACCGCGCCAGACCGCGTCCACTTCGTGAAAGGCACTTGTCGCGAGGAATGCCGGTGGTGGGGCGACGTTCTTGCCGTCTTCCCTAGGAGCAAGGTGAGTTCCACCCCACAGAGCTGCACACTACATACGTGATATCAGTGGCGACTCCTTCTGTCCATCTGTACCTTCAGCTGAAAGGTTTTTGTAGAGTCTCGTAATCTTGGATGTAAGATACCTCGTAAGCTTCTAGGTATCGTGCAGGTATGACGTGTTGCCGAAGCCGAGGATGCAGCGTGATTCGTACTAAAAAATTGTCGCGTTCGGTCTTACACGAGAGTAAGCTTGCCGTTATGAGATGCCAACTAGTTCTACAAGTACTGTCTCCCAGGTGTCACCATTGTTGTAAACTGTGTGTTCTTTTTTTAATTCGCTTAGTGGGGAGTGGAGTCCGAGTGGGTCCACTCGGCACGGCGGTCACTGATTAGCCTGTTGTACCTGCCCCGGGTGATTATGATGATGGAGAATTTGGTGGAATGAAGATTGGCAGGGGAAACCGAAGTACTCGGAGAAAATCCGCCCCAGCGCCACTTTGTCTACCACAAATCCCACTTGACCAGACCCAGGATCGAACCCGGGCCGCCGCGTTGGGAAGCCATCGACTAACCGCTTGAGCTATGTCGCGGCGAATTAAACTGTGGTTACTCAGAATTTGAAATATTAAGGGACTCATAGCATCAGGTCGATATAACGTTCATAACCTGGAATAAAATCATTTTGAAACGGTAGAGAAATTCCAGCCGATCACAGTGGCCGCGCGGTCTAAGGCATGAACCGTCTCGAACACTGGGATCGTGGGTTCGAATCCCACTCGAGGCGTGGACGTCTGTGTGCTTTTATTCTCTGTTTGTGTTGTCCTGTGTAGGTAGCGGCCTTGCGACTGGTTGATCCCCCGTCTAAGGAATCCTACCGACTGTGTTTAGATTAAGAAACTAAAAAAGCGGCCATGGTCCACAAGGGCTGTAGAATCATAGGTAGGTGGAGAGATAGAGAAATTCCGGAATTCTGATTCTCCAATGTGTTAAAAAGATTGTAATGTTAGCTCAACCTACTATATGTGCAACTCTATCCAAAAACTAAAGTAAGTAAGGGTATCCCTGTAACAGGCCTTGGAGGCCCATAGGGTTGTGAGATGTTGAGGATCCCACATTTTCTAGACAATCGGCTCGCAGATGGCGGTAAGGTTATCAGCCTTACGCGCCGGCCGCCCTTCAACGCCCAGGAAGATTACTGGTACTCATTTCTGTTAGAGGCTGAGTCGACTCCAGGGCTATAGTGCGGCTCGAAGGATTAGGTAAAGTGAAAAAATCCATTAATCTCATCGGGATTCGATCCCGCGACCTTCCGGCTTGTGGTATAGTGCCTCAACGAACTACGCTACCGCGTGCCCCCATCTAAAAATTAAATCAGGATTTTTCTTACGGCAAATACACAAAGTTTTTTTTTTTTAATTGTAACATATGCTGCATGCAAGACCTCCAAAATGACAACACTGTTGCTTTCGTACGTCATCGACATAATTAAATATAAGCCTGTGTATAAACAGCAAGAACACTAACGTACAACAAAAATTACGGAAAAGAGCCGAGATATTGTTAGATATCAAATGTATTTACTACATACAGCACTTTCCGTCCCTGTGCATGTTGCACGATAAAATAGTAGAGAATAAAGTTACGGTATGTTCGGGACAATCCGTTTCACGTCTGTAATAGTCGCCTTACAAGTACGACACGTGGAATAAGTAATTCCCCGCTCCGGTCCCGCCAGTTCGTTCCAGCAGTCTGATGTGTGCTGGGGCACGTGTGTGAGAAAGCTGTACTTATTTACATACGTCGGTTATAAAAGGAACAAAATCAGACCTACCTTGTCAAACCTCGGCATGTTGTAAGCTATTAACAGACACCTCCACTGAGACGGTCAGCGCGTAGGTTTTACAGACTGCGTTATAAATCTTGTAATCTGTTGCCAAGCTTTGGAATTTAATAACAAGACAGTTGAAGAAAGTAATAATTTTAAAACTAATTATAATCCTAAGACCGAAGGTTTCTGACGATGGTGTATAAGAAAGATAATTATATTCTCCGTAAACCCAACTTTAAAAAATCTGCCGACGTGTATCTTTAGAAGGCGTATCTTTGGGATGAAGTAACTTTTTTATATACTGAAATCTCTTATACAGCATTTAGTAATAATAAGAGATATGGCTATTTAGATCAGTTTAAGCCGCCGGAAATTAACTGCAGCTGTTTCACATTTTGGTTCGAGAAATGCTAAGGAAGAAATTAGTTTTAAAGGCTGAAAGGAAGGTTTCGACGTAGCAGATCAACTACAGATCAGATCTTTTGCATTCGTCAGATATTGGAGAAAAAATGGGAGTACGATGAGACAGTACATCAGCTATTCATAGACTTCAAGAAAGCCTATGATTCAGTTAGGAGGGAAGTACTGTACAATATTCTGATACAGTTTTGGATACCCATGAAACTAGTTAGGCTGATTAAAATGTGTTTAAACGAAACGTATAGTAAAGTCCGTGTAGGTAAACATTTGTCTGATAATTTTCCTATCCGGAATGGTCTAAAACAAGGAGATGCTTTATAGCCACTCCTTTTGAATTTTGCCTTAGAATATGCAATTAGGAAGGTCCAGGGAAACCAGGTGGGACTGAAATTAAAAGGGACACATCAGCTGTTGGTCTACGCCGATGATGTGAATCTACTGGGTGAAAATGTAGATGCCATTAAGAAAAACACACAAACTTTAATTGACGCAAGTAAAGAGGTTGGTCTAGAAGTGAACACAGAGAAAACTAAGTACTTGTTACTGTCTCGTCACCAAAATGCAGGGCAAAATCATGACATAAAGATAGGAAACAGATGGTTTGAAAATGTGGCACAGTTCAGATATCTGGGAACAACGAAAACAGATCGAAACCTGATTCAGGAAGAAATTAAGAGGCGATTGAAGTCGGGTTATGCTTGCTACNACGAATGGGGAAGACGAGGAATGCATGTGGGATATTGGTGGGAAAGCCAGAAGGAAAGAGACCACAGGGAAGACCAAGGCATAGGTGGGTGGACAATAGTAGAATGGATCTTAGAGAGATAGGATGGGATGGTATGGACTGGATAGATCTGGCTCAAGATAGGGACCAGTGGAGGGCTCTTGTGAACACGGTGATGAACCTTCGGGTTCCATGAAATGCTGGGAAATTCTTGAGTAGCTGCAGAATTGGCGGCTCCTCCAGAAAGGCTCGGCTCCATGAGTAAGTAAGTAAGTAAGGCAACATATGAAGGCAGTATTGACTCCAAATGGATCCCAAAGCAATAGTGCGTGAAGGTGTTGACTGAATTCACCTGACTCCGGATAAGGTAAATGGTGGTTTCTTACGAACAGGATAATGTACCTCCGGGTTGCATAATGGGCTGGGACTTCTTGATCAGCAGAGCGACTGTCGGCTTTTCAAGGTCTGTCACTTAAAATAATTAGTTCACTCGTGTTTTTACAAGATCTACCCATAGCGTAATCGGTATAGCGACTACCTACGGACTGGACGACCGAGGAGTCGGAGTTCGAGTCCTGGTAGGGTCAAGAATTTTCTCTTCACCACGTCATCCAGCTCGGCTCTGGGGTCCACCCAATCTCCTATCCAGTGGGTACCTGAGGCTATTTCCCCGGGGGTAAAGCGACCGGGGCGTGAGGCTGACCAATCACCTCCAGCAAATGCTGAGTTCAAGAAAATGTGGATCTATACATCCATTCCCCCTATACACCTTCATGACATAGTGCTTAATCAGTTAAGCATAGGGACAGCTTTACCTTACCATTTTACACTTGTTTACAGAAGGAAAACTACGTATTATTGGACTAGGCTTTTTCCCGCTCTGCCTCTCGATGCCTAAAGAAACATATGAACGAACTGGTTAATTTTTGTGAAGCTGTAGGTCATGCCACAGGAGGTCACTGCTTGATTTTAGCAGTTTCAACGTAGAGTTTGAATGCTTTTCGGAGTTGAGAGCATCATTTATACCATTTAGTACGAGTTTTTAAATGCTACCTAGTGTTAAATATTTAGATACCATTTCTACCAAAAATATGAAAAAGGTTATGCTACTTAATCTGAAGATCATAACTGGTTAGCGAAGTTGGGTATGCAGCGAAGTGATAAAAATGACGGTAATTTTGTGCCATGAAGACTGTCAGCATAATGGCGCCGCGAGCATTTGGAGTAAAGTTCCCAGAGAAATGGAAACCAGACTTTAATATAACAGCCTTGAAACTGAACACATCATGCAGTTCTGTTGAATTCTTTGTTTGTTATCTGACCATCTGTAAGCGTCCTTCTCACCATGCTGTTGATTTCTTCTGAGTAGACAGAGGGTTTGGTCCTTTTACAAGCGTTTATACTCATTTCGTATATACACGTAACTATTGTTACTGTTTATGCCATCTTCGCTGACATTACGATTAGTCATCGCCCATTGTGTGGGACTGGCTGCAGGATAATTTGCTTCTGCATGCCTCTGTTAGCGCCTTTGGCTGTTGCGTTCCAGCACCGTTGTCTTGAAATATTTTCTCATATTCATTATTGTCATTTTTGTCTTGAGTTGTCCTCTTCAATAGTGCTTTACTCATTGTTTTCCTGTTATATAATCATGTCCTTATACGTGATAATGGGCAGTGTAAGTGAAATGTATTCAACGGTCTTTTGAAAGGCTTTAGACGTCTTTGCACGACGAAGACCCCGAACTTTAATGGCGGGTCATGCACGAAGTTAACGGTGAGCCCAGCAAGAAGTAAATTCTAGGATAACCGGCAGCTTGAGTGATTGATGTGTGATGTGACGAGAGGTGTGCGGATATCACAGAAGTAGCGCTTGAAGGTTTGCACTCCCATCCAATTTGTTTATCTTTGAATGCCGTGTTAAAATTCACGAGTCATTATTCGTACTGACTCAATAGCCAAGGACGGTCTAACATTATTGACCCCGGCAATATTGTTCTCTGCCGGTCACGGTAGCCGAGCGGTCTAAAGCATGTGCTATCTTCGCTCGC